AGAAAAGGCAATGATGTAACATGAAAATAATCCTTAATTCTGGAGATGAAAATGGTCCCTGAACATATTTAAATTGCTTCTTGCTCCTATAGTCTTATCTTATTCTTTTTTTCATTATTTAGAGAATACTTTATTAGTTTCTGTAATCAAACCCATGTAGATATGACCTTACATATTTAGTATGATGTTCACATCTAACTTTTTTAAAAAATGTGTTGGTTAAAAGAAAGTAAAACAAGAGGCTACTTTTCCAAGGACTCCGAGCAAGACAGACTCACTAGTGCCTTGACAGTAACTGAGTTTCTGTGGCCTTCCTTCTCAGGACCTAAGTTTAGAAGACTCATAGAAAACCCCGGAGCAGGCCAAATTCCCAGGCCCTGGCCATTCTCCAGGGGACAGCTGAGCTACCAAGCCACAGTCACTGATACTGACTTTGGAAAAACTGCCCCACAGGCTCCAGTCCCCAGAGAACAGGGTTGGACAATGACACACAGGAGACTCCATGCTACTGAGAACCATGGAATCCATTCAGAAGCGTGTGATTAAAATCTCAATGCCCAGCACCTTCACCAGTCCTGACCTCCTACCCTGGGTGATTAGCTCTATGCTGCTGTCAAAACAAGGCAAGGTGACACAAACTGCTTGAAAAAGGATGGAAGTTCCTGGACTCGCCCATTCCAGTCCAGCCCAGAGTCCACAATAAGGTGGAAATATGCTTTCAGAGGGCTGCACACCTGCATGCAGCAATTTCTGGACAATTCCACAACCCCTAGATAAGCTCTCAGGCATTTCTGGAGAGGCAGGATCATCATTTTCAAAATTGATCCTCCAGACAATAATGTGAGTATCGTGAAGTTTGTCTTTGACCCTTTAATTTTCATTTTTCTCTTTTTTACATAGTGTTTTCTCCCCCACCATCCTTCGGTAAGCTCCTCCCCTCCCCACTTCTAACCTACACACAAAAAGTATGGATGATTTACATAGTCAAGAATAATCCCTTTCAGGAAAATTTTCCCTGAGTCAAAGACATAATTTGATGAATCCCAGAGAGCTTCAATCAATTGGGGAGGTATTTATGAGTAATAAAAGTTAGGTAATCCAGAAATGATCCCCTGAATATGGTTGTCCTCTTTTTCTTCTTTTAACAACTGATCCTGACTTTTCTTCCCACTTCTGGGTATAAACAATTGAACAAGGAAATTCAGAGGATAAATTAGTTGTGTTATTCAAGAGCCTCCTCTGTTTACAAAGGGAAGTTTATGGATCAGATTGTTAGCAGGTAAAGGGACCTCTTTTGTGACCAGGAACCCAAGTTCCTGTAGACACTTTAAACAGCTTCTCATTGTTTCATAGGACTTTTAAAGACCCTTCATATCTAGTCTCTTCTGTTTGTTTGTATAAAGCCTCAGTATTGAAAGCATTCTTTCTTCTGCCCCTGAGGCAAGGATATGTTGAGGAGCTGCACTGGGGTGGGGGGGCAGGTGGGATCATCTCTGCCAGCCATGAAGAGGAAAAGGAAAACTCCAAGGTCCCAGGCAACTCACTCTCTGACCACTTCTGGGACACTTTATAGACTTAAGGGCAGCTTTGTCACAGAAGTTATATAGATTTGGCCAGTGAGCTGTGGCCGCTTACTGTGAGTTAGAGCTTAGTGCATTCTTCCATCTATCCTAAATCTTGAAAACAGATACTCCATGTTTTCTAATACATAAATTAAAGGCCAGTTTATGCCCTGGAGGCTGTATCCTCTAAATTAGATGTATCTATAACAACCTGTCTCCAACCCTACACTCTATGACCATGTAGAATTTAACTCCTCCCTTTGGTCCTCAGTTCCATGATCTGAAAATGGAAATAATAGCATCTACTCTTTATAATGAGATTTAAACTAGAAAAAAATATAATAGGCACTTACCACTGGCCAGTGCACAGGATAGCACAATGGAAAAGGAAGAAGCAGAGAGAGAGAAAGGTAGAAACTGAAGTAATGAGAGACAGTATAAGACATGGCATAGCCCCATAGTTAAAAGCATTGGGCTTTAAATCAGAGATAAATCCAAATCCATTTTCACCCATTGACATGGAGCTTGTCACCAAAATCCTATGAGCTTCAAGTTTCCAGTCTGTATACTGGGGATAAAAATATTCTACCACAAAGTTGTTGTGATTGCCACATGAAAAACATATAAAGCTCTTGTGACATATGGTCAAATGCTTAATAAATGCAGCCACCACTTTTTCTCCTTGTTGGTCTCTTGAGTTGTACCACGGTGGCATCCAGTTTCATGGAGAAGCTAAATGCATTCAAGGTATCCAGGCGTGAGTATGAAATCCAGTCACCTTACTACTAAGTTGCCCTGAGAAAATCATTTCAGCTCACAAAGCCTTGGTTTTTCTCATCCGTGTAATAGAAAATCACATGATTGGTGAAGGACACACAGGGATGTCCTGTAATTGATATAAAAACTACATGGCATAATGTTTGTAAAATTGCCCTACATGGAGACAGTCGTTTATTGTTTTTACTTTTTCTCTTAACAACCAAACTGCAAAGTCTAAGAATTCTTTGAATAGCCATGAATATAGCTTATGTGCAGACCACCAACTTTATGGCTGTTGTTATTATTGATGACTAGACAAAATTACTTTATTCTGTGATCCCAGACTCACAGAACTTTGCTTACTTCTGGGAATCGCATTTCAAGGGCAATGACAAAGTTCACAGTCGAGAGAACTGAAGGGCAGAAAAACCTGGACACTCTGCATTTTACAAGACAGAAAAATTGATGGGAAAAATTGCCAAAATTTACTGGATATTTGCCAGGACCCAACTACTCTCATTTAATCCTCATAACAACCTTAAGAATAACATACTATTTATATCCCCATTCTGCAGCCCAAAACTTAGCTTGGGCTTTTAACTGTCACACAGTGTTGATTTTGTTGAACAGTATTTAAATTTCTCAAAAATTTTCATGTTGAAAGGTAATGGATTTTTATGTGAGATCTCAGAGAACCAAACTAGTTCTTATGAGAGGTAATCATACTTTAGTTTCTCCTGCAGAAAAGAAACTGACAACTAAAATTTTCTGCCACTGAAAGCATTCAAGAGAAACAAGGATGTTAATTTTTTCATTATCCTACAAAAAAAGATTGAGCATTGATTTAGAGGTTGGGTTAAATCTATGTTCCTTATAGTTTTTCCTCATATAGCCCTTGATGAAAATTTATGCATGTTAAAACCTAGCACATAAAATTATTCATCAAATGTTTAAATAGCTGTAAGGCTATAGCATAATGTATATTGTACTTTTAAGACAAATACTGCAATATTATTTAAAATGTATCCAGTGGCATGTAAAAATTATGATGATTTGACACTAACCTCATTTATTTTGAAAATGCAAAAACAAAGTCATCTTTAATAGCTGTATTTTTATGATTTCTTTTCAACACACATTTATTTCCATTCTTCTTCAAATTTTACCCTATTGTAATTATTTTTATGCCAAAGATTTTTATATCCTACTTTTTTATGATGAAGAAAATAAAATTAAAGTCATTTTTGGATTTCTCATGACTATAAAATTTTGTGTTCAAGATAATCAGGAAAAAAATAACAAGATGCATCATGTAAGGATACAAGATCCCAATGATGAATGTAACTGTACTGTATACCTAAAAAGTACCAATAAATTTAATGAAAAAAAAGGATAGTCAGGAAAAAACAGTTCCTAATAGTAAATAACTGACCAATATTACATTCACGTAAGCTTCAATTATATAAAGTTGAAAATATCCACATACATTGACCTATAAAAAATAGTGATTTTCTATAGTAATATATCACAATTTTCAAAAATAATTATCAAGCCTAAATGTAGTCATCTTGTTATTCAAGGCATACAAGTCCTAAGATCCCTTATGAAAAGCAAAATCTTCAGATGCTTATGTCTCCTATATAAAATTGTATTTTTATATAGCCTATCCACACCCTGCTGTATACTTTAAATAAGATGTAAAATATTTATAATACCTAATACGATGCCTATATATCAATTAATTTGCATGGATTTGGTATAGTATTGGGCACATAGCAAATTCAAGTTTTTCTTTTTGGAAATTAGTGGAATTTTTTAAAATTTTTGGATGAATGATTGTTAAACCAACAGGTGTGGAACCTACAGATTCAAAGGGATGGCTTAAGAATGTTTTCTGTAAAGACATCTAATGGAACAATATTTTCTTTTTTTAGTTACTCCATATATCCAGAAAAATTATTACTTGAGTAAGTCTAAAACTCGCATCAATTCTACTGTTATTTGTATTTCATTTGTTTTATGGGAGACATGGTAAGGTGACATCTAGATGACAGGATGAGTTTAGAAAAAAGATTAACATAAATTAATAATCTGGAAACTTTTCAGGGTGTAGTCTTTGAGAAATCTCTGGGCACCAGCATGGTTACTCTTGAATGCATTCCATAAAATGAATGTTGCTACTCCAAAAGAGTTTCGACGTCCCCTTCTGGAGGTAGATTCATTTATGTAGGTCATCAGCCAGTCTATTTCTGTGAACAAGATGTCTTGGTTTTAGTTTGGAGAGTCATGTTGTATAGCAGCTAATAGTATAACCTCTGGGTCCAGGTATAAATGACTTAAATTCAGATTTTTGCTCTTTGTGAACTTAAACTTTCTATGCTTGTTTTCTAATTTGTAAAGCCAGTAAAATAACAACCACTTTATGTGGTTATTGTATGATTTAAATATGATAATATAGCAAAGTACTCAATTCAAGGTAAGTGCTCTGTAAATGTTAATCTTGATGATAGTGATGGTGTTAATAAAAAACCTATATTGTTCCGGGAAATTATTAAGCAGTTGATCCCTTTATCAGCACTATATATAGTTTATACTGGGGCACATTAGTAAGAATAAGTAAACAGCCCACTCACGTTTCCAAGTGTATAAAAATAATCCTCTTTGTTCTTACGGCAACAGATGGACAATACCAACTGGACCAGTGTATCCCATTTTATTCTCTTGGGCCTTTCTACCCACTCAGAAGAACAGATTCCACTCTTCCTTCTTTTCTTACTCATGTACACAATCAATATTTCTGGCAATTTTGCCATCATCACACTGATTATCTCTGCTCCTCGTCTCCACACCCCCATGTACATCTTCCTCGGTAACTTGGCCCTGGCAGACATCTGCTTCACCTCCACCACGGTTCCCAAGATGCTGCAGAATATTTTCTCCCCTACCAAGACCATTTCCTACATGGGCTGTTTAGCTCAGACTTATTTCTTCATTTGCTTTGCAGCCCTAGAAAACTTTCTCTTGGCAGCGATGGCCTACGACAGGTACATTGCCATCTGCCACCCTTTCCGTTATCCCATGATCCTGACTAGAATGCTGTGTGCACAGATGGTGGCCATGTGCCATGTCCTCTCTCACCTTCATGCCTCAATGCACACCTTTCTCATGGGCCAACTGATCTTCTGTGCAGACAACAGGATTCCCCATTTCTTTTGTGATCTCTACCCAATGATGAAGATCTCCTGCACCAGCATCCACTTTAACACCTTAATGATTCAAACAGAAGGTGTGATCATCATCAATGGAGCTCTGGCCTTCATCATTGCCTCCTATGCCTGCATTATCTCAGCAGTACTCCGGGTCCCCGCAGCCAAAGGCAAGTGGAGGACATTTTCCGCCTGTGGATCCCACCTCACAGTGGTGGCTATATTCTATGGAACCCTCACATGGGTCTACTTCCGGCCCCTTTCCAGCTATTCAGTGACCACTGGTCGTGTTGTAACTGTCATGTACACAGTGGTGACTCCTATGTTGAACCCCTTCATCTACAGCTTGAGGAATGGGGAGGTCAAGGGGGCCTTCAGGAAATGCATGAGAAGAATAGAAACTTCTACCTTTGGATAAGCCCCAAAACATAGTTTTGGCTTTTAGCTCCAGTTTTAGAGAAATTATTTTCCCCTCATAGAGCTACTTCCTTTAGGATATCCTAGAAATATCTAAGTACATATCATGGATTTTCTCACCAGATTTTGGCTTATCTCTTAAACACAAAATACAGAAATGACACTGCACTGTACTTAGTGTAAAAACATTAGCATGGCTTTAATTATAATTGGGGGTGTTCTAGTTCTATGGGACTGTACTAAAAGAGCAGAACTGGAATTCCCAGAGTCCTAAATGAGGTAACAGAAACCAAGTCTGGCTAACTCACAGAGGAAATGAGTTTCTCAAAATGTTATGTGGTCTGCCCTCTTCACCTTGGTCTTTTATGTAGCTGGTATGTGGAACTGCTCTTATATTGAGTATTTGTCTACTGACCAATGCTGAGCATGAAGAACTTTCAAGAGCCACATGTCAGTTCTTCAGTCTCATGGGTTGAGGATCAAAAGAATGTGAATGGGTCCTCCAAGGCATGGAGTAGAAGATTTAAGTGCAGGCTAATTTGATCCATCTGTTTGGTAAAAGTGTCTCTCATAGGATACAAGCAGTTATGACACTCAGCGGAAAAGATATTCAAATTGTTGTAATTTTGTGTAATGCACTATAAGAAGGATTTCATCTAATCCAAATATACGTCTTAGTCAAAAGTTGCACCACTAAAATGGATTTGAGAACCTCTTCCCCAAGTCTTTGGCTATGCCAGGATAATAAATTTTTCCAAAGTGAAGAGGGCTCTGGCACTTATAAAATGATAATAACGAAGAAATCATGCCAACTTCTGATCAGTTAACTCTGGTTTCTCACATTTGCAAGAAAACATCTTATGCAGCCAATATTTTTCTTCTGGATTCCACAGCTTCCTCTCACTTAATATTTCCTGCTTCCTCAGCTGTCTCCCTTTCTCCATCCCAAGGTGGCTATTCCATTGCTAATCCCCTTTATTCTTTACCGCTTTATTACTTCACCTCTTGGCACCATTGCCTTTTTAAAGACTCTTCTTCTCCCATTAAAGAACATTTTTAGAATAAAGAGATGGAGAGTAGAGTCCATGAATACAGTAATCCATCCTTATCCACAATTTTTCTTTCCACAGTTTCAGCTACCCACCATCAATTATGACATGAAAATACTAAACGGAAATTTACAGAAATAAGAAATTACTACATTTTAAATTGCATACTGTTCTGAATAGGATGATGAAAATTCGCATTGTCCTCTGTCCAACCTGGAACACACATCCACCCTCTGTCCAGGATATCCATGTCATACATGCTCTATACACTTAATATTCCTTTTATTATTAGATTGAGAAAAAAACATGATTTACATAGGGTTTAACATTATCCATGGTTTCAGGCATCCACTAGAGCATGGGAGCCTAACCTCCATGAATAAGGACCAACTACCTTAATCCTTAGATGATACCTCTTTTTCTTCTAGGAGTTTGTCTCACAGAATAAATATATGTTGTATAAAATTCATATATCTTTATTTTATATGTAATATGCTATTATTTGTGGCAATAAAAAGGAGAAATACGATTTATGTATACTACTAGAAGATCGGTTAATAGTGTTTGGTAGTTAAGTCTCTAATCAAAAGTTGTAAATGGGTTTAGATCATGTGTTTTGCCCTCTTGAAATTTGGTCTTTATCATGAAAAATGCACATCCCACATGCACAGCTGTGGCCACTTAGCCTGGCTCTCAGAATGAGAAGTAAAGACCAAGCACAGACCTAAGCATGACCCAGAGGCCTGCAGGCTTTTCAGTGAGAAATGAATATCTCTCACTATGACCCGCTGAGCTATTGGGTCATTTCCTAAACAGTGTTTCTGGGGAAATCCCAAGCAATACAATATATCTGTGCTATGAACTATTATGCAGTTGACAAAAAAGAATAAGGCAGATTAAAACTTTCTGGCCTTACTTCCATGTCACCAGTAGCCACTAGGTACTTATAGATACCCAGTCCTTTATGTGGCAGCTCTTTGCTCTTTCTTTTCATTAGTTTTTCATTCGTATACTATTGGTAAAATGTAATAATAATAGAATGTATATGTCAATAAGTTACTTATTATGAGCTGGTTACTGTTATGAGTGCCTTACATATTTTACTCATCAAATCCTTACAACAACCCTGAATGATGGATGCTGTTTCTATACCAAAGGGGAACTAAGGCAGAAAATAGTTGAATAATTGTCCAAGATCACACAGCAAATAATGACAAAGTTAGAAAATCGGAAATCTAACACACTCCACCCCTTTACCCACCACACTACTACAATACCTTTAATATAACTGTTTAAATTTCCCTTTTGGCCATGTTTCCATGATTCATGCTGCTCAGGGAAGTCCTGTGTACTCATAAACACACCAACTCCAACTTATGCTTTTGGAGGTCTGATGTTTAATCACTGGAACTGGTGCTCTGGCTTGACCCTTAGTCATTTTCACAGGAGCATTAGCAATGTGTCATTTCATGCTTGAATGATGAACAATGAATCATGGTCACTCTCCTTTAGACCCAGATTTAAACCAATTTATTTCTCCACCCAACATTTTGCCTGCTCTCTATGCTTCCAATCCCCTCTGACTCATGTTGCTAATATTCCAATAGGCCTTGTGCCAAATCCTGACAGGTGTACTCTACTGTAGGAATAGTACATGGTTAATAATCAGAGTCAAGTGAAGTCAATTAAAAGGGCTTTGGAAACAAATACAAAAGGCAGTGAGTTGTGTCTCATTGAGTAGGCTGTAGCTGATGGTGCTACCAGTAGTCAGCTCTGTGTGAGATGACTGTGCTCCACCTTTCACCCAACTAAGGGTAAAGTCATCACAGATACAGCTGTTATTTGAAGTAACATTGTCCAAATAATTGGACGTCAGTGAAAAATGGGAAAAAAGTGATTATTCTCCTGTGCCACATTCCTTGGTGGAGAAAGAAGGAGAGATACCAGACTGATTTTAATTAATTAAAACGTTGTTCTCATTCAAAGTAAACTGAGATGTGTATCACTCAAGACAAAAACTTTTCAAGACTTCTAGACTTAATTGACAGATTCAGTAGAGTACCTGGATACAAGGTGAACACCCAATAATCAATAGCCTTCTTGTACACAAATAACAGACTCACCGAGAGAGAAATTAGGGAAATGATTCCTTTCACAACAGCATCCACAAAAAATGAAGTATCTAGGAATCAGTCTAACAAAAGAAGCAAAAGACCTCTACACTGAAAACTACAGCACTCTGAAAAAAGAGATCGAAGAGGATATAAAAAAATGGAAAGATATCCCCTGCTCCTGGGTAGGAAAAATCAACATAGTGAAAATGGCCATACTACCAAAACTGCTATACAGATTTAATGCAATGCTGACTGAAATTCCAAAACTATATTTCACAGAACTAGAAAAAAGAATCCAAAAATTCATTTGGAACCATAAGAGACCTAGAATAGCAAAAGCCATCCTAGGCAACAGACATGTGGCAGTGGGTATAACAATTCCCAATTTGAAACTATACTACAAAACCACTGTGATAAAAACAGCATGCTACTGGCAAAGAAACAGATCTGAGGATCAGTGGAACAGATTGGAAGATACAAAAACAACTCCAGATGCACTCAGCTATGTTATCTTTGACAAAGGAGCTGACAGTCCCCACTGGAGGAAAGATAGCCCCTTCAATAAATGATGTTGAAAAAAATTGGATTTCAACCTGCCACAGATTAAAACTGGACCCTTATCTTTCACCATGCACTAAATTAAAATCCAAGTGGATTAAAGATCTAAATATTAAAACAAAAACACTAAACTTGCTGGAAGATAAGTTAGGCAGAACTCTGGAAGACATTGGCATAGGAAAAGACTTTATGAACAAATCCTCAGTAGCATGGGAACTAGCAGAAAGAATCAACATCCGGGATCTCATCTTATTAAATAATAAGATGCAAAAGAAACCATCAGCAGAACTAAGAGACAACCTACAATGTGGGAAAAAAATTTTACCAGAAACTTGCTGGAAGATAAGTTAGGCAGAACTCTGGAAGACATTGGCATAGGAAAAGACTTTATGAACAAATCCTCAGTAGCATGGGAACTAGCAGAAAGAATCAACATCCGGGATCTCATCTTATTAAATAATAAGATGCAAAAGAAACCATCAGCAGAACTAAGAGACAACCTACAATGTGGGAAAAAAATTTTACCAGCTGCTCCTCAGGCAAAGGACTATTTTATAGAATATATAAAGAACTCAAAACAATCCGCCCCCCCCAAATATGAAGACCCAATTCATAAATGGGCATCTGAAATGAACAGACATTTCTCAGATGAAGTAAAAGCAGCAAGTAAATATATGAAAAAATGTTCCACATCACTGGTCATTCGAGAGATGCAGATGAAAACAACACTGAGATTCCACCTCACCCCACAAAGAATGGCTGCTATCAAGAAATCAAACAACAACAAATGTTGGCAGGGTTGTGGGGAGAAAGGAACCCTTCTCCATTGTTGGTGGGAGTGCAGATTGGTGCAACCACTATGGAAATCAATATGGAGATACCTCAAAGAGCTGGGACTACAGGTTCCATTTGACCCAGCCATCCGTCTGCTGGGTATCTTTCCAAAAGAACTAAAAGAATCATATCACAGTGATATATGTGCACCTATGTTTATAGTGGCACAGTTTGTAATAGCTAAAACTTGGAAATAGCCCATTTGCCCATCAGTTGGAAACTGGATAAAGAAGATGTGGTTTTTCTATAAAATGGAATATTACTCATCCATAAAGAATGAGAAATTAGATTCATTCATAGGAAAATGAATACATATTGAGGATATACTCCTAAGTGAAATAAACAAGTCACACATGTGTAAATACTGAATAGTTTCTCTGGTGTGACTAAACTGTAATAATACATAAGATCCTAATGAGATAACTGACATTGTGAAATGGGAAGAA